GATATGGACACAAAAACATAAATAGCTAAATATTGCTGAGAAATCTGCCATTATGTTTATAATATTCATTCATTTCCCTCTCTATCATGTCCACATATACTCATTTTGTCTTAAATTTTCGGTTATCTTCTAACAGGTTCAACCTGTCTCTTCAAGAAAATGAAGATGAATCTGATGATTCAGAGGTAGATTCAGATGAAGAATGCCGGCCTCAGTTTTCTGAGATAAAGAAAGTTTCCGGTTTCCTGGACAAGGAGCTTGAAGCAAGTGGTTTTACTGGAAAGGATCAAGAAGACATCGAACGGGTATAACTTATCTTCTGCACTTAGGAGTAGGATTGAATTTGTTTTTTTATATTTGTTTTTTTCTTCCATACCAGCCATTGTCCAATATTACCTAATTGACTTGTTTTTGTTATGCAACCGTGAGAAAGCGTATTTTACAATCTGACTTTTGACCTTTTGATCTGATTTATTGCACATTCCTGGACATATAAAATTGTTTAGTGTCTTTTACTGGGTTTAACAATCACTTTCAATTAAATTGCATTTATATTGATATTCAGACGTACTCAGAATGAATGTGCTTTTTCTTAATGGTCACCTATTTCTAGAAGAGATGTAACCTGTCTTTAGGAATTTGATTTATTTGAGCATATACCAAAACTACTATCAGCAAATATTTCACTTAAAATCTTGGTTCAACATCTTGATTGCTGATTGTCTAGATATTGTTTTGTAGATATATAATCTATAAATCAACTGTATTGTGCGAAATGTTCAATTTCAAGTGAAATGTTGGCAATTGCTTCTGTCATTATTATCAACACGGTGTTAAAACGTTATTTCTGGATGCATCTAGTGGTGCTGTGTTATTACTGTACAGTTTGTTTATTATAGATTGTGCCTGAGGTGAACTTGTGAAGTAACATCTCACTCGTAGCAGATATTTGCTTTATATATTTGATCAAATGGTTACATTACGTAGTCTAGCACATCATAAGTCCCTTATTGGAATTATTGACGCTACTTTTTTGTTGATCTATCATAAGTATCCCAATATTGTTCTTTTCTCAGTCTTTAGATAGCTATATATTGTTCATAGTCAATTAACCTTTGTAAATGTGTTGCATAATCTGTAAAATCTTTGCTTATTGGAAAGATACTTATTTGTAATGCAAGTAATGCTTATTTTTGCCCACGATCCTTGTGTTTCTTGAATTCCATTACGGCTTAACGAATAACGACTGCTCTGGAAAAAGAAACTATATATATATTTTCAGTTTTGGATACCAATATGAAGTGTTTTTTTTTTCCAATTTATTACTTTGTAGCTGTTGATGCTCAATGGTAACACATCCATTATTTCTGATGCTGATTACTGTTCTCAAGTTCTGAATTATGCTTTATATATGCAGTTCATTGTAGAGGATGTTGAAGAGGATTCAGATTCTGGTGCTGAAGGAACAGAAGACGAAGAGTACAATGCTGACAGCACAAATGAGTCAAACATTAAGGATTTTGATTCCGTGTGCTCGCTGAAGAAGGTAATTTCTTCACATATTAAACGTTTTTGCTTATTTCTTAAATTTGAAGTTTTTAATCACAAGTATCTTCTTTTTTCATTTGTACTTTATGGGTTAGAACTAAACGATTACTGTCATTTATCTTGAGTGGATAATATAGAGATGATGGTGAGGCTTTATCCCAATCAGATGTTTGCGTGATCCCTAAACTTCGATAAAAATTACGAGAACTATGGCTGTGTATATATGACTAGGCATACCATTAATTGTCGTCTTTATATTTTGAATTATTTTAAGCTCATTAATGCATTGTCGCAATGGAGATCGACTCTTTTCCAAACTAGGAGGTTGAAAAGGTGAAAGTAGGTCAATTTGAAATTTAAAAAATTCAATTTGTTTTCATGTTCCCCTGAGAACATTATTTTCTATAAATCTTATGCTGCATTATGAAATAAGAATTTCTACTTGCAGGAAGAAGATAGTACACCTGATTGTGAAGATAGACAGATTGAGCACGAAGCTGTGGAAGAAAATAGCCACATTAAGTGTGAGGATAATCCTGAAGACGAATCTTCACAAGCTGGTTGTGATCTTGATTCTGAAGCCGACGAGCAAATTGAGGACCCAGAACTTGCAAAGCGTTTGACTAAACAGAGACAGCGAGCCATTCAAGCAGCCCGTGGGAGAAAGAAGAGTTCTACGTCGAGAACTAAGTACTCAGATAAAGGTGGAAGGTCCTCGTACAAATCAAAGGTCCAAAAGCAGATGAGCAGCTGGTAAAATGCCTTGGAATATATCGTGGTGATTATAATTATATAGAGTTCCACCTTTTCTTGCGACCACAAAATATTGGAAGGGATTTAACGCTGGAGATGCTGATTCCTTTGTTGCATGTTGTAATATTCACATCATGTAAGATCTATTTTCAGTTTTGACAGCGGAACAGATTCCACTCGTATTAACCGTTTTTTGGTTTGCAAGTTATTAATTTTATATCTACGTTTCCATCTCGTGTTTATGTTTGACTTACGTGCGACACTCTTTGTGATTGTAAAGATTTTTCTTGTCCCGATGCACTCGTGATTTTATTGTTGACAAAATTTCTCCGAGTTAATAGTTTTGTGTTTACTTTTACTATGATTTTAAAAATGAAGTACCGAGTTACTTGACTAGTGACCGGATATTGCCTGTACACAAGCAAGCATATGTAGCAATTCATGAATGCATAAACCTTTAGCGACAACTTATATGTCGATGCTTTTAACACATTGATTTGGACCCCCAATTTTACAAAATTTTATCATGATCATGGATGGATCATTCATGTTCGGGTCCATAAGCATCAAAAGGTACTATAGTAGACTCTTCTTGGAGTGCTACATGTGTTTAGGCTACTGCATTTAGAAGATTAAGTAGTTGGAGAGGAATATATGTAATTATATACACAACATAACTCTTACCTTCTAAAAGATGAAGTTTGTAAAGATGGAATGATGTATACGTGTCCATTGATGTGAAGATTTAATTTAAGTTTTTCATAAGGTAAATGCCTTGAGTTTGAATTCTAGAGAATGTGATAGACATCTACGACGGTAAAATTGGTACCGACTCTTTAAAGCATGCAATACAGATGCATAATGGCTTGACCAGAGAGGCTCATTCGAGTTGTTACAAAAAGAATTGAGCACCATGTCATGCTAAGTTTCATCATTGATTTGCTCTCCCAATCATTAGTGTTTTTCCATTCCTTGTACTGTTTATACAAATGATACAATAATTTATCAACTTCATTTTTTGTGGCTTCAACCCTGTTGAAATCAGACAAGATATTGTGCAACAAATTTCAATTCATATCTAGGACTAAGCACAACTGCTACAATTAAAAGTTTGTCATCTTATCAACATTTTCCCAATACTCGTCAAATTTGTCCTTCATGCTGCTTACCATGTTACTCTGCTCACCATCCAATTTGCTGTTCATTCTCTTCAAAATCAGCTCAAATTTACGAACTTCATTGAAGTAAATATTGGAGGTAACATTCAACGAAGCACTAAACATCAAAGTGACCTCATAAAAATTTAGCAAATTTTCTAGCTCTATCCCAATTATAAGTTGTTTGTGGCCCTTATATTTCTTTTCCACCTTTATGCTGATACTAAAATATTTATAATAAAATCCATCATCTTCCTTCATTCGAGCAAACTCTTTCTCAAGTTTCAATGTACTATCTAGCATTAACAATTAAGTTGACTATGTCTGCAGAACAAATAACATGCAATTAAGAGCCACCTGCATCGTACCATCAAGTTTTCAATTTGTTTTTCACATAAATGTTTATAGCATCATTTGTGTTTGCATTGTCTACAGTAATACTACATACATGTTCTATTCCTCATTCAAGCAAATAATTTTCTAATTTTCTCAATTGTCTCTTCTTTATGATTTGGAACAACGAAAAA